TTCAAATCGATGTACCACACAAGCTTAAAAAAAGTGCAAAAAAAGCACGGCCAAACCATCATCTTTCTATGACTGGACTGATCACATTTTCTTCAAGTACGTTTCCCTAAACCGCAGGATCGCAAAATACCGATCTTGGCGATTTTGCGGCTTCCGTCATTCTCTCGTGTTGCTGTTAGAGAAACGTTTTGCTGCATCGTGGCCTGTTTGACCTTTGACATCAACCCAGATTGTGCTCCTTCTTTCACATTTGATATTCATGAGTCCCTCCACGGAATAGTGAAGCTCTGCGATTTTTCTCTTCGAGCCAAAGTTTCTTGAAAGAAAATCGGTTATTCTGAATGACGTTCCAAAAAAATGAAATCCGAGACATAAAATATGATTCATGACAAAAATTTAATGTTCAGAGTTGTTGATTTTAATTTAATTTTCAGCGGGAATATCTCCAAAATAAGTGGCAAAATGAACATCTTGCATGGGATTTTCAAGCACTCATGTGACAGTGTTTCCTCGTATGTCATGCATTTTTGTCAAAATTTTTGAACGTCATCAAAATTCTGTCAAATATAATGTTCGCAACAAAAATATTGTACTCATTATAAATTTTTGATGCTGCCAAACTTAAAGATAATTTTTGGTGGTTGAAAGGTACATGTATAAAACCTGGCAAATACGCTGGTATAGTGAGAGTGATTATAAACATTAAGAGAATGAAGAGAGCCAAACTTTTCTCATCATTTTCCGTCAATTTTGTGCTCGTTTTTTCATTGCTTATATTTTTGAAGTTATTTCTCAGGTGCTTTCAAATACATCAGTCGAAAAATATACTGAATTCTCCTTGTTGAGAGAATTTTTTAAATCAAGTCCTCTTGTGTAAACACTTTGACGTAAGACTTTAAATGAATTCAACTCCATTTGATTTCCTCTGATAGCAAACCAATACACCTCACACTGATAGATCAAAGATAGTGCCAAAATATGGTCCTTAAGTGGTCAAAAAATGGTGAAAGAGCAGAGCAATTTTCCAAGGAGCAGCCACGAGGTGTCACACTCATTGACCCAAAAAATGTACATTCCAGATGTACATGTAGTCTTCCAGTATAATGTAGCCTATATGAATAGAAAGCCCAAAATTGAAATCACAAGTGTTCATCCAAAAGATTGGAAAAAGGGGTAACTAAAGTCCCATTCTGTGAAGCAGTGCTTTTAATGGCTGGTAATCAAATAATAAATTCGCATGAATAATTGCTTTTGAGTTCATTATTATCTTTGGGATTAAGGGATTTAATAATAGGTTTAAGGTTAGTATATACTGGTAGTTTTCAAGCCAAGCTTCAGCTCAGGATTAATTCTTCACAATAACTGAGCCATTAAACATACATGTATTGGTTCAAGGATTCTATCCATCTCAAGATCATACCCTATGCAACAATTACATGTCACCAGACTGTCATTTGATCAACAAGTGGAAAAGATCACAGGTACATGTAGTCATATCATGGTCATTGTGTTCAAGTAATCCATTACAAATAGTATCTGCTGGTCATTAAAGATGATGCCAGAGAAGTGAGCCAGTCAAGGAGTTCTGAAGGAATAGATTGATGGATTGTAAGTGACCTTGACATTTGAGAACCAATCAGATGGAGCATCTTTGCATGAGTCCATTGAGCTGCCATTGTCATCTGTCAGATGGTACCAGTATATGTGTAAAAGCAACTGCTTGAATGCTTCAGAGTGACGTGATGTTGTCTACGCTGTCAGACTGACCAAAATAACCAAGTGATGAAGCACATGTAACCACTAAGAAGAAGGCTTGCAAGAGTACTAAAAGAACTGGTACTACCCTGTACATGTAATACCATTGTTAGGATTTCATTGCAATGCTGTCTAACAAGACTGATATGGCATTATCTGGGTGTGTCTCACCATTTAATCCAGTTCTGGATGAAGTACGCGTAAGTAATCATGCTATTCATTAAAATGCTGATCATAACAAAAATACAACAAACTTTACCAACTTACATACATGTAGGCTTACTGAGCATGTAGTGCAGTTAATGATCTGGACATTAGCTGGTATACTAATATAACCTGATTTTAGGGTACATGTACATCTACATGTACGGAGTTGATTTTAGCTCCCGCAGTATCGGTAGTTGACAAAATACATGCACACGTACGTGTAGTTCCTGAGGCTAAGTTTGTCAACTTTCAGTATCTTGGGGAGCTAAAATGGACTACCCATCCACAATATAAACCGTGTTGTATTTGTTTTACCAGACCTCAGACATGTACGTATTTGGTTGCCATTACAATTTCAGGAGCAAAGGAGAGGTGTTAGCTTGTCCCCTCTGTCCACGTAGGGTGTTAAGAAGGGCAAATACCTTTCACAAATTTTGATGAAGGAAATACGTCACAGCTGTACTGGTACTGTAGATGAAGTTACAAAGCATTGCAGGTTACCTACTAAGTGTGGGCCTAATCCTTGTATGAACATGCAGGGTGCATTTGTCATATGCATAAGAAAGTGATGAACCATGTTATTGTTCAAATAAACTCTATACAATGAGTGCTTGACAAAAGTATGCCATGCCTTTGCCCTTTCCAGCACCCAGGTGTTTTTGAACAGGTCAGGCAGAGCATTTCGAAGTTTCTACATGTACTTGTCTGAAATATTGATTCAGGATGACAGTTTTAATAAAGTATAATACCTACATGTATTTACAAAAGATCTGCCTTCCATTCATACATGTACACTCTTAGTTTATGTGCAAGTCGGTGTTCGCAACTCAGTTTTTCATTGATCTTACCATGTGACATCACTTTGGATGTAACCTACAGAGAAGACATATTTACAGTTGGAAGTCCACCTACTGACTGATTCTGTTGAATTTACAAAACTTCAATTTCCTTTTTTTTTCTGATTTAAACAAAAAGCAATCTTACCAAAAGGAACATTAATGTCGGCTAATGAGTGTGTACATACATGTACATGTACATAACGGGGTATGCATTCTTGTACCAGCAAGAGTAAGTAACCAGTGTGGCAACTTCATTTTTAATTCATGATGCAGTGAATATATAATGAGCCATTCTAACAATTTTATTACCTTTTGTGGCAAGGTTACAGTTTCTGTATTTTCAGGATAAATGCTTGAGTAGTAAAACAAAGAAGATATAGATGCATCTATAATAGGGTATTTTATTGGATTTTAAAGGTCAGGACGACTTGACTGTTTGTAGAGATTTTCGAGAAGAATACTGCAATATCATTGTCCACAACTGCTGAATGTTTGATTGAGGAAAAAATGTGTCATTTTGCAAATACATGTACATATGTATGTTAACTTGTCATGTTTTTAGGGTTTTTTTAATGGTATTTTTTCGTTTTCATCTCTTCATTTTCTTTAAACATATTCAATCTATTTTTGTGTGTCTGTTTGTTTTTCCTATTTATCACACCGGTCAGTATGTAGCCTTCAAACAAAATTATATTTTTAATGCTTTTTTGTGTGTCCTTTTAGTTCTTTGACAAATCTATGTATCAACATCTGGAATGAAAATAAGGTCCTTACAGTACGTAGACAAATAAATCTGTACTTTTCACTTTATGCAAGAAGTACATGTAAGTAGGCCTACACTTATGAAAAGCAAAATGTGTTCATATTTTTACTTCTTTCTCCCAACAGTCGATTCAGTTCTTCTTGTCCTTTGAATTGGTTGTTTACCCGAATTTCATGTCTTGCATGGTTGTACATTCTTGAAATTGATTGAAACAAAGACTGTGGTAATTCAATCCTTACATGTCCATTTCATACCGTACGTGATCATCTGGTGAGAGGAATTCCATTGCAATCTATGGAAATCAAAAGGAAAATGTTGATCAACCGTCAATCATTTGGAATGAGCAGTGACTAAATCCACCATAGCCTTTGAGACATCTCAAGATGAATTTGAAGTTAGCCGTTTGTGAATTTTAATGAAAAAAGTCTGAAAATGTGCTGGAAAACTTTTTGGTGATGTGAAATGATAGCATATTTAGGAGTACAGCATCTGATCTATTAATTTGTTCATACCAGACTGGTTTGGGTGATTGTAGGGAAATTAGTTTTGTCTCAGGAACTGTTGATACTTTGAAAAATCAGTATAACATCACTGACATCTTCACTGCTGTTATCCGTGTTTGTTTTATCTACTTACAATTTTCAGGATATTTCCTGTTTTCAGAGAACCATTCAGTAAAGTATGTTTTCATTCCTGCTGTTTTATTAACGGAAGTTCATGGTATCAAATGCATTATATCCTTTGCTATTACTTTGGAGCTCTTCATGTGTATGAGCTGGTCTCTTCATATACCTCTCTTACTTTACGTCACATTAAAATTCTGCTTATATTAGGAGTTAAAGAGACACTGTAATACTTAATGAAAAGAAATTGAGAGTTAAAAAACTTAATAGAAAAATCCTTTCAGTCAAAGTTTGTCTTAGAGATTAGATGACAAAATCTGGCACTTTTACGAAGAATAAGAAAAAAAATACATCGTGTACGGATTTTCAGAATATTACAGTTTCACTGTTAGCCAATGTGGTACAAACACGTATGTGTAGAGTACATGTGCAGTATGTAGAGGTTGAATGACTCGTATATGTACTTAAATGTTCAGTCATTCTCTCCTTCATGTCACATTAAGTACAATGTAGTGATGCGTAATACATTTAAGCCGGACAAAGTAATATATTTTGCTGGTTGAAGCATTCCCAGATCTTGTGATCAGTCACGTTCGAAGCATTGATAATTACAGCAGAACAACTTGAACAATGCTTGAAGAAGTTCAAACCTACGACTACATGTAGGCCTACATGTGCCTTCTCTCACCCCTCCATTGGGATTTCAAGTGACACTCCTCTTATAAGGATTTCCTTCTGTCACAGGAACAACACTTTCCTGACAACCTTTACCTGTTTCCTGGATGTTTTCAGCATACAACATTGTACATGTAGTACAAAGGACGATTCCTTTCCAATGATAAAAGTCACCAGTCTGTTATCGGTACCTGCATAATTACATGTAGGTATGAATGTTTAGTTGAATACATTGGATGAAGGCCTAAAGGATATCACAATGGAATTCTTTGTAAGTAAATCTGTTGTCATACATGTAAGTGAATGATAATGATTAATGTAAGATGTGCAAAGCAAAGATCATGGAAAGATTGAGTGAAGAGGAAATATTTTTGAGGTGTTTGCTTGTACCATGCATGTACATACATGTACATTTACTGTTATATTAAGTTCATGTGAACTTTCCTAGAGTTCTGTTGCCCTCAAGTGGTAAACTTCATAAAAAATGAAGAAATCTGTTAATTATGCAGGCGTCATTGTCCTTTATAATGAAAGACAACAACACAGGCTTTTTAAGAAAGACCTTAGAGTTTTTTGGTCTGTTAACATTTAAGACAGTGTTGAAACTTTCTGCCAATTTTTGGTAAATTCCTTTTCATGAATTTCTACAGTAAGAGCGTGTTGTCATTCTTGCCTCGAATTGCTGATTTCATAATTAATATTTTATGCTACAGGTACATGTAGTTAGACTTGAACCCTTCACCTTAGGGCCATTTTTTATTATAATAAACAGCAACTAGTTTTCTACTTGTTCAGGTATGATGGCAATTCCTTAAGGGGGCTGTACACCTGTACATGTGAGCTTTACCTGCATGGCTGACATGCTATGAAAGATTAATAGTTGTCATGGATACACATCAATGTTGAAGGTTAATTGTCTGGAATAGAAAGAAAAGGAAAATGTACTGCATGGCTTCCTTTCTTCGCCCCTTTCTGTAGAATGTTTACCAATGAATGCCAGACATCTTGTGAGAAGGACTTTTGAAGGCTGCTTCCGTGTAACTGATTTCAATTTCCAGGGATTTTGGTCTGGGAAATCCACCGCCTGCGGAATCCAGGAGAAATTTATGCGGCCAGTCATTTTTTTTGTAAAGGATACCAGGTTGCCTAGCTTGGATTGCACTTGACTACTATCATTCCAGATTACCGCTTGCCTGGAGGGACTATTCTTGACTTGCAAATCCTTGCATCAGTCAAGAGGACCGATGAAATTAAATATCTAGAAAGGTGTGTTCGTGGAGTCAGTGTGACACCAGTTGATACTCCTTTCCAACCAACCAGCATGCTTCAACTATTGGCTGATTGCTAGCCACACAAACGGACATATCACAAAAGGATCAAGTCAGATGGAATGAGTTGGTATGAAATGTTGCCATGGTTGGGATGCTGGTTTGAAGCTTATTTGTACATGTATCAGTTCCGTTGTATCCATAGTGAATTGATGCTTGTTTCCATTAATGTCGTATTGGACTAGGATTACATAAAAAGAGTCTATTCTTTAATATTCTTGGATATTGGATTGTTAGGTGCTGGTTTGTCTTGCAGATGTTCACATGACAATGGTGTATGTTAATTTTGATTCAATACTGCTTCATAATGCATACTGGCAGGCATCAGGCAGTCTATTAATATGCCATACATACATGTATATAGTTGAGACAGGTCTTAACAGACATTGGAATTAACCATTTTCAATAAATTGTAGTTTTGAAAGTCAGTTTTGTGTGTCAGTGTTTTCTTTGATAGAGCACAGTGTGCACTACGATCAGAAGTCATCTGTTTAGAGCAGTGCGTAGTGATTGAGGCACAATTATACACCTGCTTTGAATGATTAAAGATTAAACAACCACTGATTAGCAATTCTGTACCAGCATATTAAATTAAAAAGGAAGTTTGTGCAGTTTTGTTAAAAGCCTTTGTTCTTCACCAGATGGAAGTGTTTTTAACAAATTATGACAAACCAACAGTTTTAATGCACCAGTAGGCACATGTACATGTTGTTTTGATACAATGTGGATACATGTGTATCCAAAGTGAGGATTGTTCAGTGCACATGTCTTTTGAAAACTTAAACTCAGTGTATCATGACACTGAATATCTGTTTCCAAATTGTCTTTTGAGTTAGGAGAAACTATCGGTATACTCTGGGAACATTGAAAATTGATCTTTTTGCCACCTGTGCAGCAAATTACTATTAATTTTTGATCCTTGACCGGAATGAGAGAAGATGCTTGAGTGTGAAGTGAGCTTGTAGGAGGGCAGATGTGTTTGCATTTCCTAGGGGATGCAATGGAGTAGTCTTTACATGTGAAGCCTTGAGTCACTGCTGTTTGGCTGATGTAGTGTCATCCTTCAGTTCACTTTATGCACCTGCTCCATTGGGCTCTTCTCGTGTACTTCCCTCCAAGTCATTTGTCAAAATGTATCACGACATATATTTTATATTGATGAGATCAACCCCCTTGATGTTGGATAGGACATGGTGGGGTATCTACTTCGAGCGGAACAAAAGAGGGCGTGTTTTTTGGGTACTCACCACATAGGTGCGCATTTACAATGGAGATCATGCACTGGCCTGTTTGATTCGGAGCATGACGCATAACAAATTTATTCCTTAATCAACTCAGGGTGGATTACATGTAGTACCTGTAGTACAGATCTCAGAGGATTTGATACATGTAATGATTTTTCCTTGTTAATGACTGAGGCAAAAATGACGTTTTCAGGGCTAGTTGTTCCAAGCAGTTTGTTACATGGAATGGAATCTTAAATGAACCTGATGAAAGAATTGAATGCGATTTTCCTACCCAGCTATTGTACCAACATTTGGTGTATACTGTACTTTACAATTTGTTGCTGAGAATGACTAACATAACTGACTTAGAAAAAAGTTTTCTCTCAAGATGTACTGATAAATTGTGTTGTTTTTGTAACATAACCTTGGAACAAACTGGAGATAAAAATACTGCAGGATTGTTTTTATGTTACAATTTTTGACGTCTATTTTTCTGCAGGAGTGTGTAGCCACAGAGACTAAAGTTGATGTTGAAATTCCATCCGGTAGCAACCAGCAGACGCTAAACCCTTCGGAGATTTCATGTTCAGTTGAAGCTGCTGGCTCTTCCCAACACACCACCATGAACCGCTCTCGGGGGACAAGTCTCAAGAAACAGTTTTACCAAATGGGTCAGCTTCATGGGGACATCATGAGCTTTGGTTCCTTGGAGAACTTTGTGCGGGAGAGGGGTAACACCATTGACCATGCTGGTTGGTCTCTCAATCACCTAAGACAGAAGTTTCAGGCCATGGATATTGAGGATTTATATGATAAGTACTGTGCCCAGATGCGACAGTCATTGGTGTGTGTCATGTGTGTGTTGGGGATTCTCTATGGGATATCGCTCATTGTGCTGTTTTTCCTCTATGAACAGGTGAGTTTTGGCACTCAGTGAAAGATGTAAATTGCATAAGATTGTCACAGCTTATCATTGTTATTAGGAAGTGTGCATGGAAGTGAGTTGGGGTTTACGGGCTTGTGAAACAAACAGAATTTATTCTTCCCAATCTACTCACTACTCTGGTAATTTACATCTTAAGGAAACATTCCTTCAGTCATGACATCCTCAGCCAAATCTTATCCCGGGATACTACATTCACCGGTAGGCTCCAGAGGATAGAGGTTGCAGGGCTCTCCATTTCCTTTTATCAACACACTGCTTACAATTGGATAATTAGATAATTAACCAATTACATGTAACTAACAGATATATCCCATTAGCAGTAATGCAAATGACAACAGGTACTTTACATCATGTTCCCCAGTGGCAGTTCTTCCTACTGGTACATGTATGCCCATATTTTCCATGTGTTCCAATACCGTACTTTGTATACAAAGTGCTGAAACTTGCTTGCACAGTCTGCAAGCTGGTCAGGCTGATTGTTGTGAAATGGCTTGCATGCTAGTTTGCTACAGTCTAGATGTCATACTCAAAAGAAGTGTTTCTGCTCCATGATTTGACTTTCCCGAGTTGACAAATGATGTTTTAATAACTTGATTTTAAGTTCAATCCTCAAAAATAAGAATAATTGTGTAGAGCAGACATAGCTTGTCTACATGCACATGTACGTACATGTACATGTAGGTGGTCTATGTATACTGGTATTTCTAGTTGTATGCTACGTGCAAGCATGGAGGATGTGTCCTTCCTCCATGGTGTAAGGGAGAGTCTTATTGCTGTACATGTAGGTTGCGTCATAGCATCGGGTCTGTCATTTTTGTCTGATTTCAGTGACCACAGGTGCAATTCCATCTTGCAAAGTCTTTTTGGGGTAAATTATAAAAGCACTTTTGTTACAGTTTTACTTTTATGCCAGTATTTGGGTCCAATGACCTTGCACGTAGAGATGTATTTATCCGCTGAATTACATGTACTTTGACATCTTTCTGTGTGAATTATTGACCCTGACTTTCTTGATTGCAGTGGAAACTGTCTCATCTTTCATAAGAAAACCTACTCTGAGTATCCTTCCCTCAGGTTTCCGATGATCCCTTCATCGATTTAAAATGATAGAATTTCTGGATATCACATTAGGGTCATTGCAGGAGATACTTGAGCATCAGGACGTTGCATAAATTAGATTACAGTTTGTAGATGAGAAGGGATCTTTCATGTCCAAAATTACACAGAGAAATGAGATTATTGGCAAAAACATTCAGAATTTTGAATGGTATGTGAAGTGCATACATTGTACTTGTACCTTGTACAGACAGAGTTACGTTCATCGATATCTTAGAAATTTATGTACTGAAAGAGCTCAAGTGTTCATTGTACAATACATATGCGGCTGTGAAAACAGAATATTTAAACTTCTCTTTTTGAAAGATAATTTACAAAGCGAACTGAAATTCAAGTTCATGTTATGGAGACATACAAAACAGTTGTCCATCGAATTAGTGTATGAAAATATTCTTATCAATACCTGATGTACATTGTAATGTCCATCTTGAGAATATTTGCATTCATTAGGAAAATTGTTGGGCTGGCCTCTTCCCTTGCTTCAAGGGGTTGGAACTTTTGATTTGAAATGGAAATCATTGGCTGTGTGTACATTCTTATAGTGCATGTATGTTTTGTCAGAAACAAGCTTTGCTCAAATCAAGCCATATACCTGTAGATGATGTCAAAAATATTGACCAAATAGCAAACAAAATGATTAATATTATACAGTCAGCCTGGATAGTTGTGTGGGATTGCTATCTCTACATCTCTACTTCTCTTGTTAAGTGTATTCAGAGTCATGTCTTTGATTGTCGAGATACGAATTCCCTCACAATGCTTCGCATCAAACTGCTGCTTTCAAGTTTTGTTATTCCCTGCCTTGGGCACTTGTAGTCCGATTTCATAATCAATGGAAGCCCATAGTGGTAGCTGACAGTCAAAGCAAAAACACTTCACTGAACTGCCCTCCCATACTTATCACTCCAAGACTTGTTTTCACAAATCTCATGGTGCAAAGTACCAGTAGCTGAGTGTTATTAGTCACAAGCTCTTCGCTACACAAGGATTAGTAAATAAACCTTACATGTATATTGAAAGTTTGTTGGTTTAGAGGCATCCCTTTTTCCTCCATTTAAAGACATTGTCAAATCTGAAATTTATCCAAATATCCACAGGGGATGATAAGTTTTGGCATTGGTTACATGGTTACATACAGGTGGTGAAAGGAATTTTGTAAGTAAAGCTGTTGCTACTGTTACTGCTGTCATCTGAATGTTTGTGATTCATTGAATGAAATCCAAAGTAATTTTTTTCAGATATACCGGTAGTTGAAGTACATGTAAATAAGATTTTAATGAACCGTAACATGTACATGTACTATACATGTACATTGTACATGTATAGTGTCCATGCACACAATACTCTGTATATGTGCTAGAGATTTTGCCTTCACAGGTTCAAAAGATATTTTTGGCAAATGTCATTGGAATCAAAACATGACCAACAGTTTTATAAAAACTCTAACTTTACTGGATGAATGATGATGGTCTTTTTTTGCCAAACTCTCATCATCCCTTGGACTACTGACAAATGAAGTTTAATAATATACTCTACAGTGTATGTACATGCACATGTATTGTACACTTGAGCTTACTCATCACGTTTGATACGATTCACAATGTAAGAGTTCAAAATTGTTTTCATCCCTTTTGGGGGGAGGGGAGTAGAACAAGTTTGAAATTCAATGAGAGGTGACAACCTTCGCACTGTTTAAAGTGAAATTTTAATGTGGTAATGCACCATTATCTGCTTACTGTAGATCAAAGATATTGTAATTCAAGAAGCAGATTGATTACAGCTGATTTCCTGTAGACAGTGTGGTGGTTTGTACTTTCAACCATGGTCAATCACTCCTGTCTTGTTTATCCTGGGATAAATAATTGCTTGATGAGTAGTGTTTGATGAAGAAGAGTAAACTCATTAATGCCATTTGTATCACCATTCTGTCTGTGTCAGTTTGAGTTCCTGTCTTGATAACTACATGTACATGTACAGTACCATTTGTAATAAGCCTACTTTAGACATTAATTTTATCCTAGGTACAGTAAAAAGGACAACCACAGTAGGCACCTTCTGATTCAAGGTTGCATTCATTAACAGTTATTTACGTGGCCAGTTATTTGGATACATGTGCAAGTTTTAGGAGCACTCACAGTGTTCACAGTCTAAAAATACAATGTACATGTACATATAGATTGACCCCACCCTGATAGATACATGTACATGGACATGTAGATTGACCCCACCCTGATAGATACATGTACATGTACATATAGATTGACCCCACCCTGATAGATACATGTACATGGACATGTAGATTGACCCCACCCTGATAGATACATGTACATGGACATGTAGATTGACCCCACCCTGATAGATACATGTACATGGACATGTAGATTGACCCCACCCTGATAGATACATGTACATGTACATGTGGATTGACCCCACCCTGATAGATACATGTACATGTACATGTGGATTGACCCCACCCTGATAGATACATGTACATGGACATGTAGATTGACTCCACCCTGATAGATACATGTACATGTATACATGTAGTGCATGCTTAATTATTATAGACCCTCATGACTAATAATTAAGCCACTTGCAAGTTAAATTTGAATAAAATCTGGTAATTGTGTTACATGTATCTGATTGCACAGGAATGTAACAATTTGAATTCGCCAGACTAAAGACACTGTTGCTATGCCTAGTGATTCAGGGCAAAATTTTGCATAGCGATCACCATCTCTGGAATGGACTGGTTCCTCTGTGCCGTTCTTATCCATTGAGAGCAGTGTATTGTTGCAAGGCGTGTCTTATGTAACTAAGCAGAAGCTTGCCTCGAATCACAAGGTACAGCAACAGTAGTTTTAGTATGGAGAATTCAAGCTGTTATGTTCACGTGACTTTAAATAACTCAGTGTACAAGAGTTATTCAAATTTAACTCGCAAATGGCTTGTTGGTTCAAGATCTACACATACACGTATGTACATGTACCAAGTACATGTACCGAGTATTTGTACACGTATGTATACATGTACATGTACATACGATACATGTACATGCTCTTTCAGCTATTCGTCTTTAGCCTCACCCATGTGTGAGCTTACACATGCGTGAGCTTACACTTGATGTCACTGGTACTGAATTTGAGAACTTCACAAACCGTTAGCTTTTTCCACAAAAATATATTTTAGATCTTTTGAGATGTTTTTGAGCTAACTGTGATTTCCAACCTAGTATAGAAGTGGTCCCGTTTACTTTGTATGGCCTTATATCATGATTTGAAATGCCAAGCCATAATGAAGTCTGGACAAATGGGATTACAGATTTTGGCTGTATAATGGAATTGTAGAATCTAAAATTAGCACTACATGGTTGACATCTTTGCATGTGAACTTACATGGTACATGTACATGTAGCATACATGGATACCTGGTACTGAGTTACATGTAGATTATTTCTAAGAAAGTCTTGTTATTGGATTCACGTACATGGACATTGCAAGAAAATACACTGCATTTGTAGCACTAATGCATCTACACATACAAATATCTCTTCGTCTTTGGTATAGAAAGTTTGAATGTCTTTTACACAGGTGGTGAGCATGTTAAATCTATGACCGTTTAAGGTTTTGATCATTTACAACCATCATATCTCCAAATATGCATGTACAATTTGTAAAGTCCTGTATTTTTGGTCTATCTTCACCCTCTGAATTTAGTTATCCATATCTTGAGGCTCAAATCTTGGTTCCTGCATTCAAATGGGCCTTAGTCAACACTTGGTCCATCAGAAACAAATGTGAAACCTTTTGTGAATATATCATTGATGAGAAGATTGATTTTTGTATTCTAACCGA